ATCAAAAATACAGAAAAAAAAACAGTAATCTTGCAAAATGTTATTACAATATAAAATAATGGTTTCTATTTTAAACTGTAATTTATTTCTGTGATGCGCAGCTGTATTTTCAGCATCATTACTCCAGTCTTCAGTGTCACATGATCCTTCAGAAATCATTCTAATATGTGACCATGGATCACAAAACCAGTCACATAAGGGTCAATTTTATGAAACTGAGATTTATACATCATCTTAAAGCTGAATAAATAAGCGTTCCATTGATGTATGGTTTGTTAGGATAGGACAATATTTGGCTGTGATAAAACTATTTGAAAATCTGGAATCTGAGGGTGCAAAAAATCTAAATATTGAGAAAATTGCCTTTAAAGTTGTCCAATTGAAGTTCTTAGCAATGCATATTACCAAATAAAAATTAAGTTTTGATATATTTACGGTAGGAAATTTACAAAATATCTTCATGGAACATGATCTTTACTTAATATCCTAATGATTTTTGGCATTTAAAAATAAAATCGATAATTTTGACCCATACATTGTATTGTTGGCTACAAATATATCCGTGTGACTTAAGACTGGTTTTGTAGTCCAGGGTCACATATGCTGATTTGGAGCTTAAGAAAAAAATCTTATTATTATCAATGTTGAAAACAGTTGTTCTGCTTAATATTTTTGAGAAAACGGTAGTTAAAAAAAAAAAATAATAATAATAAATCTTATGACCCCAATCATTTGAACAGTTGTGCATATTCTATTGTTTTCTTAAAAGCTGACAAAATAAACTTTTATCAGATATACACAGTTAAAAATGAGTCTTTCTCTTCTGGAAAAAGTGAACCAAAATTATTGATGATATCATCTCTTGCTCAGGGGTGTATGCATATTTTTGTCCAATAAAATTATTTCTAGAATAAGAACGTCTCATCCCCAAATTTCACCTGCCACCAATTAGCAACAGCAAGTAACTTTGTTTTGTTGTGCTTTTCCAGGCTGTCTCAAACTAAAGTCTATTGGCTATCTGCCCTGCCACAACTTCCTGTTTCAAAAGTAAATGTCAACAAACTAAATTTCACTTGTCAAACCATTCCAAGAAGTCTTTAAAAACCATATGAAATCAAAATTTAAACAATCAATTTTTTGTTGGCCACAAGGAAGGATAAAAACAGAATTAGCCAATGATATCATTATACAACAACAGAAATTGATTGTTGTCTTCAATTATAACATTTTTAACTTGATGATAAATCATAGTAACTTCAAGTATGGCTCACCTTCTGTCGATGGACATGTAACACTGTCGAAGCCACTTAATCCCAGGCATCTTATTGCGAGGGGCCATTCCACACAGATACACCAATATGTAATTCTCAGACACCATCAAGTCCAACGTGCCAATAATGTACCTAAATCCAAATAAACCATTAAATGTGAATAAACATTTAAGTTTTAGAAAATAAAAGTCATTGCAATGAAAATTCATCCCAAATCAATCAGTTTTTACCTGAAGAGATTGTCCATCACATACTCATAGTGTTCGGTTGTATTTTCTGGTAGGTAGCAGGAAGTAAACATGATGATGGCTGTCGATCCGTCTCCATAATATCCTATAAAAGGTCGATTTTAGTTGGTAATTTCAGTAAAACACGTTCATCCCAGCCTGTTCAACAAAAGCTCACCTCCGTGGGAAAGAACTTGAAGGTACGGCTCCAGAACGCTCATGTTGACTTGGTAGTCTTGGCCGCCAATATGGAATCGCCTCCATCGCCGCCCATTGCTGTCCACCTGATCCAAGTCCAGGTGTCCCATTTCTGCATGCTCTAGTAAACTGGCTTTTCTGATCGCTGCTTTGCACATCCTGGGAAGATCATCTGCAATGACCACAGTACTAGTGGTAAACCACTGCTCTGCGTAGAATTCCCTGTCCCATACTTGTGAAACTGATAAATGACACAACCCTAATGAATGTCAAAATAACTGAATACCTTCCCACTCTAAGTCGTGCATGCTGTCTGGGAAGTTGTAAGACTCGCTGTCTGAGGGGGTCTCTAGGGCCTCCAGGTTAATGTCCATCTCTAGGTCATCATCAGGAGATGGTGAAAGAGCAGAGGCATCAAACTCGTCAGATTTCAAGCTCCGGTCAGTAGAGGTTTTATCCAGTGTTAAACTAAGAGTCGGCGCTACTAGTCGCTTCTTCCTGACGGTATCACTTGTAAGGGCCAGGCTAGTTGGTGGGACTAGTGGAAAGAAAGAAAAAGAGACGTCAGGCATTACACAGGCATATATTGTGTATACGCTACCAATTTTACTAAATTTTTATTTTCAGGTATTTTTTAGCTTTCTGTTTCAAATAAATAATTTTTTCCATTCAAAGACTTGTATAACAGTTTCCACAAAAATATTAAGCAGCACAACTGATTTTAGTATTGATAATAAGAAGAAATGTTTCCTTAGCACCAAATCAGCGGATTAGAATCATTTCTGAAGGATCATGTGACACTGAAGCCTGGAGTAATGATTGCTGATCTTTGCCAGCACAGTATATTAATTAATTATATACAGAATATAATATACGGATTAAATCACATTTTCAAATGTACTAAAGAAAGAGATTTTTTTATTGCAATACTATTGCAAATTGTAATATTTCACAATATTACTGTTTTTACTGGATATTAAAGCAAATAAAAGCAGCCTTGGTGAGCATAAGAGACTTCTTTCAGAAACACCTAAAAACACTGTAGTGCATCTATATATATGAGACAGATATTATATAAGAGGCAGATATTTTGGCCAGTAACTAATTGGAGAAATGAGGTTACCAGGCCTGTTTCCCTCAGCTCCAGGGCTTTCCTCTTCATCGCCAGGACTCTGTGTGTCCTCAGGAAGAGGCCTACAAAGATCACATTATTTAATCCCATTTGCACTTAATATGAACATAAATAAGGTGCATGTATCTAGTGCCGTTTTGTAGGATGGCTGGGAGTTGATAATATTTCTTTAAAAGTATTGTTAGGAAATGGGTCGAGGCAATCAAGAGTGCAAGAAAATATGTTTAAATACCTGAAAAACACAGGAACAATAGATAGAATCTAGATTTTTTTCTTTTATTTTTTTTTTCTCCTTTCTTTCCCTTCTGTATTTTTTCCAAATTTATGCACACTCCACACTCCAGATCAGTAGGTGGCGGTAATGCACCTCTTTCGCTGGTTTGCCAAACCGCCATAAAACACCAGAAGAAGAAGAAGAAGTTTACCTGGGGAACTCCTCATCCTGCCATTCCTCCCGGAGCTCCATGTCGGGGATGAAGGCTGATGTCTTGGCGTTTTCTGAATGCCTGCAGGTATAAATTGAACATGTAAAGAAAGTTAATGGGGCTTCTTTGTGCCCATGTCAAAATTGTATTAATTATTAACAATTAAATGATCAGCAGGAAAATAACTTACTCCTCAATTTTGTCCAAATAAAAATTCCAGGTTTGTTTGTTTTAATTACACAGTTTTAATTAATTGACAGTCTGACGTTCAGTTAAAGGCAGGAAAACCACACTAGGCCTACTAGAAAATGGCAAACGATCAATAGTAACAGTGAGTGCTGGTGATTAGATAGATAGATAGATAGATAGATAACTGTGTAAGCATTAAAAATTCATGTTGGATTAGACTGCACGTAGAAACAGGGCTGTGTACACTTGAAACCTCGCTAACGCCCATCACATCGCTCTTTACGGACATATGTAAATAATGGCAGTGTAAACATGCTAACCTCACCTTTTCAATAACCTCGTACAGGAGATGCTTCTCAAAAACAAACCGCTTTTTCATTTGGTAAAAAAAGTATTTCCTAAGAACATTACAAGCGCTATAGTTAAACTAATTTATTATAGGCTACTGATGTATAACTAGCCATTTACCTTTACAACGACAAGGGCGATTCTTTCTCTACCTCACCCAAGCAAAGCACCTTCACGCCAAACACAGAATTCAGTCAATCAGAGCGCGTCTCCGCACCTGAGAGATCTGTTTCAACGCCCCGCCCACAACCCTACAGCTGTACACGTTCAATGTCAGCCCAGGGCTTCATAGCTGCGGAGATAGATCCATCAACTCTAATGGGTTAGAAAATAACCTATTTAAAAATAGTTTATGCTAAATAAAATAACATGAACAGCTTGGGACAAAATTGTAACTTTAGTTGTCATTAGTTTTGAAAACAGGAAAATTGATGAAATCCTTCATCCCGAAGGTTTTCTTTCAATACTAGTTCACCTGCGAGTTCAACAGCATCACACAAACTCTGGTGAGTTTTAAAGTTGTTTTAAGCTAAATTTTGAGTAATTGTGCTTATTTTTTGTGCCACAACTATTGTCAGCTCTGTGACACAAACGGTAACGAAATTGTTTAGGATTTTAAAATGAATTTCCTGTATATTAGGTAGGTCCTAAAAACCATAAAAACAAAACGATGGCTGCATTTAATACGTGTGATGTGCAAAATTTGAGTCAACACTGACATTTTTCTGATGCTGATGACAATTTACTGAACTGAAAATCCGTTTGAAACCATCAAGTAGTCTCAATTCTTTTATTCACCAAAGTGAATGCTAGGTTTCTTAATATTTATCATTAATATTTAAGATTCATTTTTGTGTCAGACAGTGCAATATAGAGATATATTGTCATGCAATTTTTTGTGAGAAAACGGAAACAGCAGCATATGATCCCAAACATTGATTAATACCTTAACAGATTCATCCAAAACATGCACTGCATCTACTTTTATTCCAATATTGTAGCTTGTATTTTCTAACCACTATTCAAATATATTGAAAATAGCAATTCTATTGTGTCAGACTTGTCAAATACAAACTCGAATATAAAACTTGTCCTTGTTTCTACCTCAAGTATTTCTTTACGTCAGCACATGTGGTAATTACACGTGGCACAAATGACCAGAAAATCTCGTTTAGTTTTCAGCTGATTCCGGGCAGGTAATGAGCCTGTGTGCTCCTGCTGGCAGCAACATAAGAGCTTCTGTCGAACGTCACATAACACAACCTGTTTCTGATGTGAAGCCATTATCAAATTCATTCAGAGCTTGATGGTATTGTCTTCACTTCAACCCTGTAACCTTTACATACACTACACTATTGTCCCGCAAGACTGCTCCAAGATTGTACATTATTTCAAACATAACTGCTCTGAGGAGGCTGTATGTTTTTAGTTACTGACTGACTCACTAGTCAATACAGCATCAAGACACTGTTGTGTAATCTCAAGCCCAGTGTTGTCCTATCTAAGACCTTATCAGATGTCAAAATGTATTTTAAGAAATATGTAGGGCGTTTTTTTTTTTAGAACAATGTATGACAATTGTGGCAGACAACATGATACCTCCACACTGCAAAGCATAAGGTGTGTGCTGTTTCAGCAATTGTTCTTTGATGTAACTCTTATAAGATTTAGTAAAGTAATCGCCTGTTGGGAAATCCTTTGTCCTGGCTTGTAAGATGCTACAGTAACTCATTCTGTAACTTGCTGTTATTAAGGATATAGGTATTATTGGTCATATCACATAAACACTGAGGGTTTTTATGACACCAAGTTTCATGCATTCTCTTCTTGTCTGAACATGAACTTGGAATTTGGTATGGAAATTAACAAGTCAAAAGACCTATTCTGTGATTATAGTAGAATTAAGAGCTTTAAAATCATCTCAATTTTACAGTCTCGAACCATCAAAAGTTATAATGATATGAGTTTTTGTAGTGGTGCCAGTGGAAATCAAACATTAAAGATTAACGTATTTCCCCTTTGAAAAAAAAACATAAAAACGTACTAAACTGTACATTTTTGTCAAATTTTTCCATTTACATTTGGATGTTTAACTTGTGACAGCAGTGAAACTCGTTTCAAATATAAATGACAGAAAATCTGATGGTCTGTCAGATGAAAGGATATGAGAGATGATGTCTTTCTGTGGTTGTTAGGTCTCAAATATTAGTCAAGAAGATTGGCAAAAGTAGCGGAAATCAGTTCAACGGCAACTTCCTTTTTCTGAAATCCTCTTTCTAAATAACTAGACACAGAAGTGCTACAAGGATTTCTCTCGTGTCCTTCTGCTGTACGATTCACAGTGCAACGGAACAACTAGTACGTTTGGCAAAAGCAGCGATCATTATCCAATATGCGCTTATGACCTCTTATGGTACATGTTTTGATCTTATAAATATGTTTTGACCAGGTATTATAGTAACTGAAACCTTAAATCCTCATTGTAAATTTTGACTTACCCATTTGGCATATACCCTTCCCTCTGGTCTGAGTAAGTCCCCATGTCTAAAGTCTTTAAAATGAAAAGTGTCTAGATTAGAAATGCATTCAGTGAACTCAGCTGCTGACCATGACCTGAAGTGTTTCATGAGCTTCACCAGTTTCAGTGACTGTATCTTGTGTCTTGTGTTAGGGAACTCACCCTGACTGTCAGTACAGGTTTTTCAACATTTCTGACTTCTGCTGACTGAATTGTCTGTCTCCCATTGGCTCAGCTGCTTTGAGCACTTCTGCTCCCCCACAGGGAAGGCTGGGAAGGTGGAGGGAGATGCCACAGACAGGCATGGCTACATGGTCCTAATACCCTTGAGGTTACAGGCCCCTTCAAAAGACAATTAGCTACTCCATATCTTTAGCTGTTTATATTCAATTAGGTACATACACTACTGTTCAAACGTTTGAGGTCAGTAAGATAAATACTTCTATTCAGCAAGGATTCATTAAACTGATCAAAAGTGACAGTAAAGACATTTGCATTACTCAAACAAATGCTTTTTCGATGAATTTTTCAAATGAATGCTTTTCTTTTGAACTTTCTATTCAAAGAATCTTGAAAAAAAAACGTGTCACGTTTTCCACAAAAATATTATGCAGCACAACTGGTTTCAACATTGATAATAAGAGATGTTATTTGAGCACCAAATCAGCACATTAGAATGATTTATAACAATCATGTGACACTGAGAACTGGAGCAATGAATGTTGACAATTCAGCTTTGCCATCTCAGGAAAAAAAATCCATTTTAAAATATATAATTTTTTAAAACATATTTGTATTTGTTTATTACATTGTAATAATATTTCACTATGTTAACGATTTTCCCGATGAAATAAATGCAGCCTTGGTGAGACTTTCAAAAACATTACAAAATGGTACTGACACCAAACTATTAGTTTACAAGAACAATTAAAAAAAAGAATGCAATGAAATTGTGTCTTTATACAGACAAAGCTCACAAACCACATATGGAACAATTTGAAAATGTTTTATTCATAATGAGTCACAGAGAACTTAAAATAAAGTCCTTGGCAATAAAATACTTGACAGAGGATATGCTCTTGAATGTCCTGTTTCACAACCATAGCACATTAATACATTTACATTAAATCAACATTTCTTACAACATTATTATGATACTGGCGGAATTGACTAGTATGTGCTTAGTTCTCCCGAGGCAGCATGCAGCAATCCTCTGCTGTCACCATGTCAAATCTCACTAAACTATCGGTCAGGGTTAAATCACGAGATACACAACACCTCAGAACACCAACATACCATCTTATATGTTTCACGTCCAGTATTAACTGATTTTGTTTAATGCTTAATTAAGTCATAACTAAATTAGCTCTTTATCTTCTATGGGGAAAAAACCTCTTTATATAACTGTCTGACAGAATGTCATTATATAAGATTTGTCCAATTAGGCCTTTAAAATGCCTTGGATTGAGCTTTTGTATTTATTAATATAGTGAATATTATAATTATGATGATAGTCCAGTATGATTGAATCTGTTAATAAGCTGCTGGGCGTATAAAAAAAATAAAAAATCAAACGGACTGTTAATGAAAATCTCAACAATCTAGTTGTTTTCAACCCTAATTTACCCAACAGCCATCAAATCATCAAATAAATTATGTAAGATAACATAATAGAAATGAACAGAATACTAAAGTTTTAAATCTCAAATGTTTAACATGCCGAACACACAAATACAGCTGAGGTCTTTGGTAGTTAATGGTAAAATCTCATTGGCTAAAATGCAGGTGCCCTGATTCTAATCAGGAGCAGGTCGGTTAACACCTATAACATGCAAAAGGCCACAGAAGGGTTACGCTCACTTTTCACGTACCAACAATAACTCCTTTACAATATTACTGGGGAATCATGACAAGATGTACTAATCCAAAGAATGTTCATCTTCATTTACATTTGATGCTGCGTGAGATAAAATGACATAACGTCATCAATTTAAGATTTACGGATTGCATCTTTGGCACGCTGCCAATAACCACACAATCATTCTGACTCATCCCAAAAGGAACTGCGTAAATGCTGATATACTTGCACTGTTTGCAGACAAACAGGCAGCACTGAAAAAAAAAAAAAAAAAATAATAATATATAATTTATAAATGTAAATATGCAACTCTAGTATTGTTTCAAAGTTTAACTGAAATCATGACTAGGATAAAACTGTAAGAGTGTTACTTTAAATGCATTTTCCATTCGGTTTTGTAAATCAAGGGAGAAGTCAAAACGATTTTCTGTGGGAATCAATGCCATGCCACAGACATGATCTGCAAACAAGCTGAAAAGAACTTCTTTAATTAACACTACAAAGAATGAAGTATGTTATTTGTATCAAAAGCAACGATAGCTACCACGTTATAATTAATTGTATAATACCGGAAATTCATTCGGAATCAGTTTATTCTATTAATTGTCAGTTGCTAGCTTGCACTGGGTGCTTATTGTCAATTTTAGATATGTTTAAATGTTTGTATGTCTCAATGAGACTTCTGATTAATTTAGAAGATTAAATATGAATATGACTGCGAACAATAAATAAACAGCCTAAATCGGAATTGTTTTTTTACGATAGTCAAACTTTAAACATTTTATATATAATGCATTTTTGTAATGCTCCATTCGAATGAATGGTCTCTTCAGACTGTATCGTACCTTTGTGAGTTAACCAGATCAATAAAGTGCCATTTCCTTCTCAAGCCCTGATGCAGCACTGTTGGATATGAACTTCATCCTCTTGAAGACGCAGAAGGACTTTCCTTCTCCAGTTCTTATTCAAGACTCTCTTGGACAACAGATTCTCATCACTGTCCCTCAGATGACGTGTCCTCCATGCTGGCCATCTTGGTAACTTTCTCCACCAAAACCTCAGGACTGATTTTTGGTAGGCCATTGTCCAAGGGACAACCCTCCACAAGACTGTTCATTGGCGTTGGAGGAACCTGGCCATCGTACTCTATCCCAGTGTCCTCGGGACATTGTTGTGAGTCACTCTGGTCCTGATTGAAATCATTGTCCAGATCTAGGTCCTCTATGTTCCCACTTTGATACACTTTTCTTTCCCTCTCCTTCAGGAAGTCTGCGATTATGGGCATTACCTTCTTGCGGGATGCTAATGTGTTACCCTGTATAAAGGCCTTCACATCTGGATATGGACTGCTCATTGGCTTAAGGTCCAGACTGGGGTTTTTGGCTTTTTCTAGTGCTTTACTCATCTATGAAAAAAGAAAATACAGATATCAATTAGTAAAGTGAGAAAAATCTTAAATCTTAGCTTTCATTTTCAAAAATGTGTATTTATTTTATTTTATACATTACTGTTGAAAAGTTTGGGGTTAGTAAGATGTTTAATGTTTTGGAAAGAAGTTTGCTATGCTCAGCAAGGCTGCATTTATTTGATAAAAATGACAGTGAATATTGTGAAATATTATTACAATTTAAAACTTTTTTTCTGTTTGAATCCATTTTAAAATGCAATTTATTCCTGTGATGACAGAGCTGAATTTTCAGCATCATTACTCCTGTCTTCAGTGTCACATGAAATTATTGTAATATGCTGATTTGCTCAAGAAACATTTCTTATTATAATATTCAATGGTGTGATGCGAAGTGTTTTTGTGGAAACTGATAATTTTTTTTCCAGAATTCTTTGATAAACAAGAAGGTTAAAAAAATATCACTTCTTTGAAATAGACATCTTTTGTAATATTATAAATGTCTTTACACTGTCACTTCAAAATCAATTTAAAGGGATAGTTTACATTTACATTTAGTAATTTAGCAGACGCTTTTATCCAAAGCGACTTACAAATGAAGACAATAGAAGCAATCAAAATCAACAAAAGAGCAATGATATGCAAGTGCTATAACAAGTCTCAGTTAGCTTAACGCAGTACACATAGCAAGTTTTTTTTTTATTATATAATAAAAAAAGAAACAGAATAGAAAAAGAATAGCGCAAGCTAGTGTTAGAGGCCTTTTTTGCTTTTGTTAATTGTATAATAAATAAAAAGAAAACAAATAGATCGAATACAAAAAGATTAGAAAAGCTAGTGTTAGTTTTTTTTTTT